TTGAACACATTCCTTCACAACGACTTCAACATCAAATTACTTTTCGGCAATCCAACTTAGTGACGCTTTTGTCATTTTTAGATTTAATACCAAAAAAGGGACCCGGCATAGTGGGTTTACCCCTCCCCCCTCAGAGATAAAGAATTAAGCAAGAGTTTGCTGTTGAACATCTATGATTCAAAGTCATCAATACCTTGACACCAGTTTAAAATCGGTGAAGATTTATACAGCTGGGTATCATCGGCATGCATGTGAAAGTTTTAACTAAAATTATCTAATGATGTTACCAACGGTAAGGTATATATGGGTATATGGAATTGGGCCCAAAAGTGACCCTTAACAAGATCAAAAACATAGACTGGGATCTGCACACAACCACTGACTGGTTCCGTACTGAGACAAATAAAATTCGAACCAGTCGAGAACAGTATTAGAAATTAGAAATCCCAAAAGTTGTCGATGTTCGTTTGACAATGACAAAACGATCAATAATAAATAGCATTTAAATAGCATTCAACATATTAATAGCATTTGTCTAACGCAAAGTCACACTCGACAGCAAGCTCTGAGCACTTTAAAAGCTAAACCATTTGCTTTCTAACGTTGACTCGTATCACCTATCTATTCATTAAAAACAATCTGAATCTTTAACCCTTTCAATATGATGTGTTCTAAATTCCGTGGTATTTTATTAAGAAGTGGATAATTATGAAAGTCCTCTAACAGCCTGATACGTCTATATGGAACTGAAGGAGTTAACATGCAATCTCACTCGCTCTCGACAAAAGGTCAGTTATCGGGAGCCGTGATTTGTGAATACATGTCTCCACATAAATGTATCCAAGTGCATGTACCAGACAACGTATAGACTCATTACATAATGACACCCTTACTTCTATCCCACCCATCAACGTGATAACTTTCCTATTTTTGATTCAACAGCTACACGAGGTAGAATCAAAGATAGTACATAACAAGACGGTCCACTCAGCCAAAAAAGTGTCAGCCGGAAGTCCACTCTTTGCTGCAGATGGCGCTGCAGTCTGTTTTGAAACTCTCTTTCGTTTCTCCAGAAGAAGAATAGGAATAGCACCTCCTTGTGTGAGCAGATCGACTGCTGTTCATCAGCTGTTCAGGTTCCTTCAGTGCGGAGTTTTACGTTTTTTTTATTTTAATGACCTCTCGCCTTTCATTATAAAGTCAAATTAAACGAAAAAAACAGTAACCTTTTACTCCGGAAGAGGTTTTTTGTCAGCGTAGCCATTTTAAAAAAGTGTTCTTCCGAAATTTGAATTCTTATTTATTCAAAAACCTGTTAGTTTCACTTTGATTTTTTTAACACAAGTAGGGTAACTCTGTTCGCAAAGGGTGCGCATTTGCGAAGAAGGCGCCACCGAATTTTGAGGACACTTTTTTAATTGGCTCAAAGAGAGGAGTGGACCCTCTTGTTATGTAGACTCTTTGGTAGAATGTAATCATTACATACAATACACAAAATCTTCAATCGCAGATACGCAGATATACGGCCAGTAGGTACCTGGCGCCGTTGTTTATATGTAGTTACAAAATTTCAAAATTTCAAAATTCTTTTTGGCTTTACTAGTTTCACTCACCCTGAGGTCAACCATTATGTCGGTTTAACTATTAAATAAATCTCAGCGCCAGAACCCTGGCACCCACTTTTGACTTATTCTGATCAAACAGGAAACAAAATTAGAGAAGAAACACTTGTTTAAATCAATAAGTTAAGGGGTTAATGCTATTTTTTTTAAAGGGTGGGGAAAAAGAAAAAAAAAAAAAAAAAAAAAAAAAAAAAAAGAAAAACAGATTCAAACAAAAAGAAACCAGAGAAAGCAGGCAAAGCCTTGTTTCAGCTCGCAACCTCAGTGCTTTCTTGTCGAATCTCCATTGTTTTTTTAACAGTGAAAATGTGTTTTCTTCTTAAGCTCACTCGTTGTTACGAACTGTTTTCACTGTTATTAAAAATGGAGATACAACAAGAAAGCACAGAGATTTTGCGAGCTGTTTCCAATAACAAAACAAACATAATGGGAAAAAATCTGGGACTTCAGTGCCCGTGTGCATGAGACGGGACGGAGATGGGAG